CACCCTCAGGTCACCCTTCTTAAAGATGGGGACCACCACCCCGGTCTGCCACTCCCTAGGAACTGCCCCCGATGACCACGCAATGTTGTAGAGACGTGTCAACCATGACAGCCCTACAACATCCATAGCCTTGAGATACCCAGGACGAACCTCATCCGCCCCCGGGGCTCCGCCGCTGTGTAGTTGTTTGACTACCTCAGCAACTTCTGCACCCGAGATCGGACAGTCCATCCCCAGGCCTCCCAGCTCTGGTTCCTCCTCGGAATGCGCATTGGTGGGATTGAGGAGCTCCTCAAAGTATTCCTTCCACCGTCCGACTATAGCCTCAGTTGACGTCAGCAGCTCCCCATCCCCACTGTAAACAGTGTGAGCGAGTTGCTGCCTTCCTCTCCTGAGGCGCCGGACAGTTTGCCAGAACCTCTTTGGAGCCGATCGATAGTCTTTCTCCATGGCCTCACCAAACTCCTCCCACGCCCGAGATTTTGCCTCGGCAACTGCCACTGCTGCACCCCGCTTGGCTATCCGGTACCTGTCTGCTGCCTCCGGAGACCCACAGACCAGCCACGCCTTGTAGGCCTCCTTCTTCAGCCTGACGGCTCCCCGAACCTCTGGTGTCCACCAGCGGGTACGGGGGTTGCCACCACGACTGGCACCGGCCACCTTACGACCACAGCTAGCAACAGCCGCCTCGACAATCGCAGAGTGGAACAAGGCCCACTCGGACTCAATGTCCCCCACTGCTCTCGGGACGTGGTCAAAGCTCTGCCGGAGGTGGGAGTTGAAGACCGTCTTGACAGGTTCTTCTGCCAGGCGTTCCCAGCAGACCCTCACTATGCGTTTGGGTCTGCCAGGTCTACGCGGCATGTTCCCTTGCCATCTGATCCAACTCACCACCAGGTGGTGGATCAGTTGACAGCTCCGCCCCTCTCTTCACTCGGGTGTCCAAAACATACGGCCGCAGGTCAGATGATACGACTACAAAATCTATCATCGACCTGTGACCTAGGCTGCCCTGGTACCAAGTGTACCGGTGGGCATCCTTATGTTCGAACATGGTGTTCGTTATGGCCAAACTGCGGCTTGCACAGAAGTCCAATAACAAAACACCGCTCGAGTTCTGATTAGGTGGGCCGTTCCTCCCAATCACACCCCTCCAGGTCAAGCTGTCATTGCCCACGTGAGCATTGAAGTCCCCCAGCAGGACAATGGAGTCCCCTGATGGAGCACTATCTAGCACTCGTCCCAGGGACTCCAAAAAGGGTGGGTACTCTGAACTGATATTTGGCCCATAAGCACAAACAACAGTCAGGACCCGTTCCCCGACCCGAAGGTGCAAGGAAGCTACCCTCTTGTCCCCCGGGGTAAACCCCAACACACAGGCAGAGAGTCTCGGGGCTAACAAAAAGCCAACCCCAGCCCTCCGCCTCTCACCCGGTGCAACTCCAGCAAAGTAGAGTGTCCAACCCCTCTCCAGGTCTCGGGTTCCAGAGCCAATGCAATGTGTCGAGGTGAGTCCGACTATATCTAGCTGGTACCGCTCAACCTCTGCCACAAGCTCCGGCTCCTTCCCCGCCAGCGAGGTGACGTTCCATGTCCCAAAAACTAGTTTTCTTGTCCGGGGATTGGACCGCCAAGGCTCCCGCCTTGGTCTGCCACCCGATTCGCATTGCACCGGACCCTTCATGTTCCTCCTGCGGGTGGTGGGTCCACAGTTGGACGAGCCCATGTATCCGGTTCGGGCTGGGCCCGGCCGGGCCCCATGGGCGAAAGCCCGGCCACCAGGCGCTCGCTCACGGGCCCCAACCCCAGGCCTGGCTCCAGGGTGGGACCCCGGTAACCCTCCGGGCCGGGTACTCCGACTCTTCGTTTTAACCGCCATGAAAGATCCTTCGAACCGTTCTTTGTCTCACCCTTCACCTAAGACCAATTTGTCATGGGAGACCCTACCAGGGGCACTAAGTGCCCCAGACAACATAGCTCCTGGGATCATTAGGGCACTCAAACTCCTCCACCACGATAAGGTGACGGTTCAAAGAGGAGTTCTCCATACCTATAAACCCAAAATACTGCCAGGACTTTTTATTTACAGCCAGTTTACGGTTGACTCACCAAAAAATGAAATTTAATTATTTGATCCGAATAATCGATCCATTCCAGGAAGTAGACATAAGTGATCTCTAAGAAGTCTCATTTATGATGGTGTTAAATGGTAAATTACACACTCTCCATCATTCTTTGGTTTTTGTTGTTAAAAAATCACAACTGGTCTTGACATGACATGGAACATGAGAAACACACAACAGTCAATTGCTTTTTTCTTTTCTACGCAGCGTAGTAAAGATGTGCTTTTACCTTTTAAGCTGACCGGTTTCAGCTAACTCTGAGGGCTTCCTCAGAGCACCACCGATGATGGTGGCGTCACTTCCTTCTCCGTTTTTCTACGGGCAGCAGAAGACGATGTCGCCCTCTACTGCCCGCACCCTCCTCGCTGATGACAATGTCCCATGTGCGATCCAATGTGTAAACTCCATTGTTTCTGCTGGGTACACCTTTCCTTATTTCTATGGCTTCCTTAATCCATTTTCTGTATTTTTATTGTTCGGTATTAATGATCCGTGTGCTGTTCCAGACCATTATGTGAAAAACATTAAAACATATTTTTCTCACTTGAGGTTGGGAATTAAAGCAGTAAAACCCCTAAAGATGCTAAAATAAAGAAACATTTAACAAAAGTAAAGAATGTTTTTAAAAAATCCAAATAATTTTGGTTTACAAGATTTTGCCTGCTTTTATTTATTTAACAACATGTCCTTCCTTTGCAGTGAAAACTTTTTTTTTCCAAAGGACATTAAATCATTTTGTCATTATTAAGCAAAAACAACTAAAACTAGACGTTGGGTTTAACATTTGTCACATCTTATTTTTCATACACTATAAAAAAGAAACACTTTCATCTTGTGGCACTTTTTACAAATTATGTTGAGCACCGAAAACATAAAAAATTGATAAAGCAGCGACTCAACCCCTACATTTTCTCTTCACACTCATCTGAAGAGCAGAAAAGGTACAATAAGACTGCTCTTTCAGCACTGAGCCGTCGCTACATCGCACCGTAATTGTACTGATAACATGCACACAGAAAAGCATTCAACCTCTCACTCTGCACCGTGCGCTAGCAGTGATTTCTTAATCTTCTTTCTTCTTCTCCTCTCTTCTGTGCGCATGTATTCATTTTTATTCTTATTATTTCCCCCCCTGCGATGGCAATTATTTTTCATTTATAAGCAGACTGAGAGTGAGTAAGAGAGCAGAAAAAAGGCATGATAGAGGAAAAGAGCGACTGGGATGGGGACGGGAAAGATATCTTTTGGCACTTAAACACTTTAACTTAATGGTACGCAGAGGGATTGACGGTCGAAAGGAAGAATGGACAAAATACGAAATCGTCACCATCGCATCACGTAAACGAGTCTAATCCGCTCATTGCAGTCGTCACTGTTTGCTCCTCTGCTGGAGCAAAGACAACTTCATGTCATCACTTTCCTTCTCATCCCTCGTTGCCACAGATACACCCCTTCCCTCTCACCTGTTCTGAAACATTATGTCCCACCTACTTCTCTTTCTTTTACGTCTACTTTCAGCCTTGATTAGTTTCCACAACTTAACTCACAATGTCTTTCTCATTCCACCTCCGTATCAGATAAATAGATTTATAGATGTTGCTTAATACCACAGAGCCACTATTAATGGGAGTCCTGAATTAGAGCCACTTGCAGAAAAATGAATAAAATATGTAATGAAAAGGGTGACAAAAGGGTGGAAAGAGGCCAAAGTGTTGTACATCATAAATGTCAAATTGACTTATGAAAAAATAAATTTGGTTCCAAGTCTCGACATTTGAAATATTTTTGCTACGGTTTTGAGAACTTGCATGGAAAACACAATTAGACTGTGTGTGGTGCTTCGCATTAAAATCAGGTTGTGTTTCAGTTGGTTTTAATCAAGCACTGCAGGTCTTGAAACTCCTCATTTTTTTCTCTTCCCTCTTTTGCCCGTCTGCCTATCCGTTTTCCTGTCTGTATTCATCCTCCATTCCCCCACCTGAGCAGCCTTCCATTCTCCGTCAAGGCACTGTCTGTGCTTTATGGGTCCCTGTGGGATGGGGATCTTTTACAGGCCGACTGGACTTTAGAAGTCCCTCGTTTAGCAGCATCCTGCCTTAATTAAAAACCCCTTTTGTGCCTTCTGCCTTTAACAATGAAAGGGAGTGAAGGGAGGGAGGGAGGGCAGGGTTAGAGGGACAGAATATAGTAATGCAAAGAGGAAGAGAAAGAGAGGGGCAGAGAGAAGGAGAAAGAGAGATGGCACTGAATAGGAAGTGATAGGGAGACGGGCAGATAGATAGTAAGGGAGACAAAGGGAGGGATGGAAAGATATGGACAGAGAGAAGATAGCTGTTAATTACAGCTGCCATTAACAAGACACCAGCCAGCCTCTTCGGGGAGAGAAATAAGTCCCAGCAGGATGGGAGAAAAAGAAAAGACAAGAACAAAAAAGAGCGACAAATAGTTATAAAGTGCAGCTTTATAACTATAGACCTTTTCGTATGTGGGCTCCACCGTTTATTAAAACTGAGTATGTGAGTGCATCGATGTACGGCTGCTGGAACCAGTGTCTTTGTTTATATGAGCTGTCGTTGGGATGACTGAGCAGCAGAGGAGCTTCTTACTGATTACCTTCATGTTGAACAAGCTGCTATTGACTTGAGAGTGACGGATGACCTCATCGTTGAGCATGTGAATATGTTTGTGTGATGACGTGATGCTCCCTGCTGCTCTTTTAGGCTCTTCCTTTTCCAAACAAACAATCTTTTTCTTGTCATGAAGTATCATACTTTCTGCTTTTTCACAGATGCCTCAGTCAGTCTTTGTACAATGTTTTTCTTGTGTCTAGTTGTTTCCTTCATCTTTCTATTATTTTTTCATGTCTCTCTCCTGTAGGCTTCTCTGCAGAATGTCCAGTAAGGAGCGCCACCTTGAGTCCAATTGTCCGTCTTCGTATATAAAGACTGAACCCTCGAGTCCTGCCTCTCTGACTGACAGTCTAAACCATCACTCCCCTGGTGGCTCCAGTGACGCCTCAGGCTCATACTCATCCACTATGAACGGCCACCCAAACGGTTTAGACTCCCCGAGCCTTTATGGTTCCAACGCGGGACCCCTGGGACCTGTTGGAGGCCCAGGGTCAAAACGTTACGAGGACTGTTCATCAACTATCGGGGAAGATTCGCAAATAAAGTGCGAGTACATGTTGAATTCCATGCCGAAGAGGTTGTGTCTGGTGTGCGGGGACATTGCATCAGGGTATCACTATGGAGTTGCATCGTGTGAGGCCTGCAAAGCCTTCTTCAAACGCACCATTCAAGGTTGGCTTCCATTCTGTGTTGCAAATTATCTCTTAATTTGTTTCTCTACCTGCCTTTTCTTTTAGTTTCTTCTAGGGGCTTCCTATTGTGAATTTGCAGTGTTTCAGGTGTCAGAAAGAGTCCAGAACATGAAGATTTTACAAAAAGGTGTTAACGGCTGTTAGAAAAAGACATTTTCTTCATTTCTTCTAAATTATCTTATTTTAAAAGCTTTTAGTAAGTCACTAGACATCATCAGAAGTTGATTGTGGGGAATTCAAGGATGAAAGGTAAGCATTTTCCCACTTCAGTCAGAGTGTTCAACTACAATCAATTGGAGAAAGTGTGTACATGCTAAACAAATCCTAAATACAGCTAAATTTGTACATTTTGAAATTAATTAAACAAACCCATTAAATTGCATTTAGCATAGTAAAAGCCCTAAAGCAGAATGTAAACATGATTCTTATAAGATGTGTCCTCTGTTTGTTGAGCGACCAACAAAGCTAAAACAAACGGTTTCCCTACCTCGTTGTCCTTTCTTATCCCCTCATGCATCTACACACTTCTGCTTATAGACATCCAGTCAGGCGAACACATGCACCATCTCTTTCACCTACAACCTTAATCTCTTCTTTATCAACAGCAAAAATAATGTCCTGGGAGTGTTTTCTTCTCTAGATCCAGTGTTTCATTCCTAAAGTGTGTCTGTCATAAGCCTGTAGTCGAGAAGATAACGTACTGTCAGAGCAAGGCCAGGGGTCGTGACTATGGGTCAGGAGTTCACGCAAGTGGCTAGAGCAATAATCCACATAATGAAAGGAGCACCAGTATCTAGGCTCCATAATCCATTGCTCATGTCTTGTTAGGGTTAACGTACTTGGAATAACTCCGCTGATGAACACTTAGAGATTTTATAGTAATTTAGACTTTGTTTTATTTTAGAAAGTAATTTGTAAAGTCTGTAGTTTGGTTGAACCAAATATTTTCCATTGAGGCCTCAAACTTAACATGTACTTTTCAGTCAGTTTTAATTAAGCCTTGTCAAAAGAATAAGTATTTTACCCAAATGTAGATATGTCGTACTTGGAGAGTGTTGCTACACTAATCAAATACTATAAAGATCCTGATAAAAAGATCAAATCTCTGCATTATTGATGATTTAACATCCCGTTAGACAGGTTTATGACACATTTTAGGGTATTTTATTGAATTGAGAAGTGCTCATTGGGTCATTTTATTTTTGATTTGGTTCAGTCTCTCTCTCTTTTTTTTTTTTTTGTTACCAAGAACGTTTCAACACCACTCACCTGGATGTCCCTCTTGTCACTCCAGCTGCAATAACCAAGTTACCGGTCAGTCATGTAGCCAGCTGCTATCGATCCATTCAACCAATCACATCAGACGGCACTCATCTAACTGCTGTTCCAGCCATCCACCTTTCTCTGCTTTTGCTTCCGATAAGCAGCTTTTCCAGTAAAACCCAGAGAGACACAGGGACAAGAAAATGTAGGAAGGGAGTAATGCCTTCAGCTGACCTGAATAGGTTTATTATGAGATGACATGAGGTCATGAAGCAGTCCTGATGAATAGTTTTGGCCACACATATTCAGAAATTAAAAGACACACACTCAGGTCTGGAAACAGATGGTGACCTTGTAATAATTCTGTCTTGACCCTTCATCGAAGCTGGGTCAAATTGTTGATCAGTGTCCCTTGTTTCATTTTAATCAGAGTTTGTTAAAGATTCCAGATGTTGGTTCAGGACCCAGTTGTTGATTAAATGTAGTGATTTTTATAGTTGGGGTTAGGAATGCAATATTTACTTTTCATTTATCTTTCTGCCATTTTTGTAGCCAAAGAGGAAGATGAAAGGTTGTTATTCTTACTGAGAAACATAATGTACATCAGTGTATTCACACATATGAAAATGCACTGAAAAAGATCTCACTACTTCTTAAGTTAAGTGGAGAATCTTTGCTTCTGTAAAGCTGTGGTGGGAAATATTTGAATTCACACCAACTTCACAAGTTTCATTTGGCTTAACGGAGGGAGTAGTATTCCAGTGTTACGTTCGTTTTAGGTCACAGTCATGAAAACAAACATTTCCCCACCCCTTCACTTCAAACCAGCTGACCACTTGTTAGAGTTATACTTACAAGTGCAAAATTTGCAAGCTCTGCATCCAGTCAGTAACCTTCATCATTCAGAAAACTCTTCCCAATAAAGACTCTTGTTTGACCCAGCTTTCATTCAGACTTTTTCTCCGTTTTGTTCCAACGGATAACGGTTTTCTTTGTTTCTTCTGAGGCTTCGCCATGAACAAGATATAACAAACGCCAACCTGGTGGAGGTGTAGTGTCCCTATGGTCTCCGTGGGGGTAGGGTGTGAGCAAAGCTCTAATCTAGGTGAGAGTGGAGTCAGAATTTTTTCAATGAACAGAATAAGGGAAATATTAATCATTTGGGAAAAGATTAAAACAGGAAGACGGTGGGAAACGGGTCAAATATGGCGGTTTCCTGGCCCAAAATGGGAGTCTTGCCAGCCGTGGCTCAGAGGGGTAAACATGGATTGCCGTAAAGCTTTACTGCTTCGCCTGAGATACGTGACTTGCAAGACTCACCGTCCAGAGAGGCTCAAGTTGCAAAGGCAGTATTCTGTCCTCAAGGAGACCTGAGAGACTTTTCATTCACCCTGTAAAAGTGCATTTTAGCACCTCCCAGCTCTTTTCTAAATAGTTATTTAGTGTACCTTTAATGTCTGTTCAGATGCAATTCGCGCATTCTTGGATCGTTCTTTGGCTGCACAACACGACTCATTTTTACACAGACAGTGTGAACGTTACATGTCTCTGTGAGTCTGTGTGTTCATCCAAATGTAAATAAGCACAAGTTTATTTGAACGTCTGGGCACATGTTCCTGCTGTGTGTGGTTGTGTGTTTGTCCTGGCAGGAAAGTAGGGCCGGCCTCAGATGGGCAGCGGCAGACATATTGGTATGTTTCAACCCATTAGCCAATAAATCCACAGGTAATCACCAAAAAAACACCTCCAGCTGGACAGGGAGAAAAGCGTGGGATAGATGGGAGGAGGAGGGATAAACAGTCAAATGAGAAAGAATGGGAGAAAGGAAGGAGAAGGGGGAGGAATGGACTGGGCACATTTGATGTAGGAAGGAATTAGTGGTATGTGTGTGTGCCTGGTGTGCTTTTTCATGTGTGTGTGTCGCCGCATGGAGGAAGTGGCTCTGGCAGCTGCTGTTTCTGTGGCGTCAGTCCAGCGACACCTGACAACCTGCATCTATCACTACCTTATTGAGAAAGAGGGATAAAGGGAGAAGTGGAGGAGGGCAAAGTGTGGGGCAATGAAACGGAAAGAAGGAGACAACAAGAGAGAGGGAGGGGAAATAAAGGGCAGCAAAACAGATGCAGATGGGAAGATTTTGCATCGTAGTTCATCTCTATCTTCTGTTTCATTTTATTTCTATTTCTAGTTAAAATTCACATATTAAAATCCATGGTGCCAACAATAAAAATGTTGTGAACACATGAAAGGACAAAAGAAAGATGGTACAACAATGGTCGGTCAGGATACAATTCACACGACACTGTGTGTACAAGGGAGGTCAATTATGATGCAGTGTGTGGACAACACACACACACACACACAAACACACACACACTTCCAAAGAGATTGCAGAGTATTTAGGAGCCTCCTATGCATCCTTCATTCACACAAACACACCTCAAAAACATTTGTTGTTCAGCTTGTGTCACAGACTTTAGAAATGCACACACACACACACACACACACACACACACACACACACACACACACACACACACACACACACACACACACACACACACACACACACACACACACGCGCGGATGTTTAAAATTCAGATGTGAAACACACAAATATTATTTCTGACACCATTTCTAAGTTTTAAAAATAATATTTTTATCATGTTACACAGTAGCAAACCACTTTTATTCCAATGGGGAAACAACACATTGCATTTAACCTACATGCATATAGCTCCGAAGTGGTTCTTTATTTTCAACAAGCAAGGCTCGCCTGCTCCTCTGAAATAGCAAGGCCTTTTACGGAGTGCCCATTAAGCCAGGCAGATTCCATGTCATTAGCACATTTAGCCTTACTGCAAGTGAAGTGTCCCACTTAACAGCAGAATTAATCTGGTCCTCCTGTATCATCAGCGTAGAAGTGCTGGGTGCGAGCCTAACCAGTCCCATTAGTAGCATATATTAAAATGTAAGAGTTCCTTCAGCGTTTAGCATGTTTAGCCTTTAACTAACAAGGCCAATTATTGGGTGTCTTTTAACCCATTAGGATGTGTTTGAGCATTTAGCCTTTTCCCAAGCTAACTAGCGCCTTAATCAGCCCAGTAATGGGAAAACATCCTCTCTACAGCTGCAGTCAATAGTAATCACTGTTTACTCTGTTTCAGTGGGAGATGAATCAGCTCGGTGGGGTGCTGTAGCTGTCAGTTGGGCGCGAGAGGAAGAGAAGCATTTCTGTTGGTTTAATATTAAAGCACAGCTATGATGGTAAAGAAACCCTTTCTGAACAGTCAGGCTGAGGAAGTTTCACCTGCACCACAAATTCACCAAAAGGTTTGGCAACTAGAACATTTTTATAAAGGATTCAGTAAACTATGAGTTTAAAACTAAGATGCTGGTAGAATGGTTAACAATGACTAAAGTGTTGCTGTAAAAGAAAAATTTCTAAGAGGAAGTTTTTTTTTAATGGAGACTAAACTAGCTAGACTGAAAGCTGTGAAGCTTGTTAGCAAACAGCAAACCTTACTGTCACACAAATTTAAGCTATGTCCACAGCAACACATCCTTTAAAAAATAACCCAGAGGAAGATTGTTTTAGACCCGTTTCCACTACTGGACCATTCCCGTAATTTTACCAGACCTTCACAGCATGTCTCCCTTTCACCAAGCTAGCTCAAAGGAACACATTCCCGGCCATACCTCCCTCATTTCAGGGACCAAACGAGTACCTGAACTGGGGGATGTTCTCAGAAATGGCCAGGTGGAGTCCCCGCCCAGTTCTTGTGTTTAATTCATTGGTTGCAACTCAGTAGGAAATCATTTTGTCAGATGTCACTGTAACAATCGCCATTTGTCAAATTGGAAAAGTTGCTGGTGAAGCATAATGGAAGTAATTTACATCACACGGTATCTTTCCCAGGTACCATGAAGGGTGATGTAAATGTCTGTGGACTCTATTTGACGCTGATCAGTGACGTCACTCACTGCTGAAATGGTCGTGACATGCTGACGTCCAAGCAAAGTCCTCAAAGGACTGATTTTGTATGGAGACAGAACAGTTGAGCGAACCAAGCCATCGTACATATGTTCCCTGTCACCTTCCTGCCTCCCATAAGTATCCCGGAACTCCTATAGTGGCTGGTTTCAGAACTCTTTTATGCCAACGAAGGACCAACCAATATAGCATAAGGCTAGCTCAGTTTATTGGGTCATATAGATGTGTTTAATAACGTTATTTATTTTGTCTAATCTGTATCAGAACCGGGACTTTATGGGGTTTGTTTGTCTTGCTTCACATTTCTGTTTGAATGCCTTCCTGCCTGTCTGCCTCCTTCTGTATCTATATGAAATGAAACCTGTCCTTGTGTTTTTTTTCCTCCAACATGTCTACATGCAGGGAACATTGAGTACAGCTGTCCAGCCACCAACGAGTGTGAGATCACCAAAAGGAGACGCAAATCGTGCCAGGCGTGCCGCTTTATGAAGTGTCTGACCGTGGGCATGCTGAGAGAGGGTAAGGGAAAAGGTCTCTCCCTTACCTTCTTCTATTACCTTATCATGTTTTTTTTTCTTTTTTATTATTGGTGAAATATATCTGCACCACTGCCAGTCTAAATAGTTTCTGTCATTTAAATGTAGAAAACATAATTCAGGAATGAATAATTTGATTTATTTTATTTTGCTTAGACATGCTGAGGATGAAAACAGCCTCTGACTACATCCTTGTTTTATTTGCCATAAATAAGATAATTTAAGTCCTAAAGTGATACTCAGCAGTCGTTCAGTGGTGTAAACAAACAAACAAACAAACAAGGGGTTTAATTAGCCCGTACAACATTTTGATAAAATACACTCACTCATTTTCACATTCCCTTGTTGCCTTTTGCTTCTTTCTCCCTCTCCTGTCTGCCCACCTCTGACCTTTCTACTCCCACTGCTCTTCCAACGATGAAAAGAGGTAGAGGAGTGGTGAGGGATGAAGAGGAGCATAGACAGAGAGAAGCGGAGATAGGAGGGGGAAGGTGGGAGAAGCCTCGGGGAAAGGGAGGGAAAGACAGAAGGAGAGAGGGAGGGGGGAGATTGATTTATAGGGGCAGAGGAGGGGGACCAAGGGAGGATGAGAGGCAGTGGGAGGATGGTTGAATGAGGCAGAAAGTGTGTGAGAGTGGGGAGAGAAAGGAGAGGAGAGAAGGGTCAAGGTTGTAATTGATGGGAGACCTGCCCTATGCCCCATTCCTTACAGTGGTCAGGGAGCGTGGCTGTGCCGACGCCTGCCAGGCCTCCCTCCATCCATTGCTGTTTTCATCACTCTCTGCACTTCTCCCACTCTGTATTACTTCGTTCCTTCTGATGCTTCTTTTGTCTGTCATTCGTTCATCGTCCCCTTCAGTCACCACACAAAGTCAACAGTAAAGTACCTGCTGCTATTTGGGAGAAACCGACTGAGTCCGGACTTCAGTACAGCACATTCAGACAGGAAATAACAAACAACCTCAACAGTGCTTATTTTCTGTCCAACTTGCTCTTTGCAATCAATGCCAGCAACGAAACATTTCACCCAACCACTGGCAATTCTGTCTCTGTTTCTCCTTCTCTGTTACACACACACAGACACACATACACATATACGCACACGCACGCACGCACACACACACACACACACACACACACACATGCACACGCACACACACAGGCACAGGCACGCACACACACTTGAGGTAACAATATGTCCATGTGACATCCACTTTTAGTGTCTGTAGGCAAGAAAATCTGAAAAAGTTAATCAATGTATTATCATGCACACGCCTGGTTTGAATCTTACCTCACATGACGATCATTCAGCGTATCTTGGCTTGGACAGTCCTCTACCGTGCACCACCTTGCCACAGGAGTCCCCCAGGGCTCTGTATTAGGACCTCTTCTCTTTGCCATATACACCACCTCACTGGGTGAGATCATTCGATCACATGGCTTCTCCTACCACTGCTATGCGGACGACACCCAGCTCTATCTGTCATTTCCACCGGACGACCACACTATCTCAGCACGAATATCAAACTGTCTCTCTGACATCTCAAAATGGATGAAATCCCACCATCTCCAACTCAACCTCTCTAAAACTGAACTGCTTGCCATCCCAGCAAAACCATGCATTCAGCACAATATCTCAATCCAGAATGACTTCCTATCTCTGGCTCCTTCAAAGGCAGTTCGAAATCTGGGTGTTGTGATTGATGAACAACTGACCTTTAAAGATCATGTTGCCTCTGTTGCCCGTTCATGCCGCTTTGCGCTGTACAAAATACGTAAGATCAGACCATACCTAACACAACATGCCACCCAGCTCCTGGTGCAATCTACTGTCATCTCCCGCCTCGACTACTGCAATGGTCTTCTAACTGGTCTTCCAGGCTGTACTGTGAGACCTCTTCAAATGGTCCAGAACGCAGCGGCGCGTCTGGTCTTCAATCAGCCTAAAAGAGCACGTGTCACCCCTCTGTTCATTGAGCTCCACTGGCTACCGCTAGCAGCACGCATCAAATTCAAATTGCTAACACTAGCATACAAAGTCCGAGACGGTACGGCTCCCATCTACCTGAATCCTCTTGCAAAGGCTTACGTCTCGGCCCGGCCGCTCTGGTCATCACAGGATTGTCGGCTAGCAGTGCCTACACCACGCTCAGGACAATCCAGACTTTTCTCATGCATCATTCCACAAATGTGGAATGACCTTCCTAACACTACCAGACCTGCGGCTTCCTTTTCTATTTTCAAGAAACTCCTGAAGACCCTGCTCTTCAGAGAGCATCTTCTTAACTAGCACCTTGTCTGCACCCGTCCCTCCTCTCTACTGTCCACTCCTTGTTCCCTCCTCTCCATGACTGATGTCAATTTGTTGTTGTTACTATTGTTGTTAGCCTCAAGGGCAAAATGCCGATTATCACTTGTAAGTCGCTTTGGACAAAAGCGTCTGCTAAATACATAAACATAAACATAAACATCATGCAATGATGCCCCCTACTGGCTGACTCCAGTACAAGCTTCATGTCCCATTTTCTCAATCTACATTCGGAGCCTAAGTCTCCTCCCCTTCCGGTCGGTTCATGGGTCAAAGAAAAAACAAATGCAAGTAAATGGTTCAACAAAAGCTATTTTCGGGTCCACTTTGCCTTACGTCCTGAATCACACACATGCTATACTTCAATTTAAATAACTAATTAAGTCTGTTTCGGCTATGTCTGTCACCTAATTTGAAATGTATTAGCTTATAAAAATTCATGTTAACAAATCAGATGTTGCATATATGATGTCACCGCAGAATATTTTCTTCCCCAGCGTAGCTTCTACTTACACATGGCCAGATTTATAGTGGTTTCTCAGCTTTTATTCCACAGTTTGCTGAGAGGAATGTGTGTTGTCCGTCATGTCTTTTTGCACAAAACTTGAAATGACTTTTTTTTAAATACTGAAAGTAAGAGCATTTACACCCGCACAATGCAAAGGGAAATCAAGGGATTGGGACTGAACAGGTGTGCAGCTGTAAGAAAACCACTTATCAGGCAAGCCGGAATAAGTTTCTACTTGCAACATCAAGATTGGACTCGAAGAGATGGAAAAAGGTCATGTGGTCTGATGACTCCAGATGGACCCTGTTCCAGAGTGATGGGTGCATCAGGGTAAGAAGAGAGGCAGATGAAGTGATGTGCCCATCATGCCTAGTGCCTACTGTACAAGCCTGTGGGGGCAGTGCTATGATCTGAGGTTGCTGCAGTTGGTCAGGTCTAGGTTCAGCAACAGGATGCGCTCCAAGAATGAGGTCAGCTGGATGGAAATGAATCTTGTGACTGTGCAGAAGCTTATCGAAACAATGCCACAGCGAATGCGTGCCATAATCAAAGCTAAAGCTAAAACCCTGCCAATGGGGTAATCAAAAGTTGCTTGGCTATTGTAGAGAAGATGTTCCTACATTTAATTAGAAACCATAAAATGTGAAATATCATGAAGTAAGAAGTATCACCTTAATAGATCTTTAAGTAAATTTATTCAGAAGATCGGATCTTTTTATTGCAGGGATGGAGCAACCCTTCGTATTAACTTCAAGAAAAGAGAGTGAGTCAAGTTTTAACGGTTTAAAGAATTATTACTAAACAAATTAAAACTAGACTAACTTTAACACTAAATGTATGGTGTAACTAAGGTGAGGTAAGACTGAGGATGGTGTATGTGTGAATATTTCAGAACCAGCAGATCCGGAGAAACGATTAGTTCTGATGGGAGTGAAGATGATGTTTTGCGCTAAGCTTTTGGTTTGGAGATTTATAACACACATTGAGATGTCATTCTGCCGGCCTACGTACCCTTGGCGGAAGTCCCCGTCTAGATCAGGAGGTGTAGAGGTCCAGCTCGGACCTTCCTGGAGCCGAAGCCTGTAGCACAGCCGCGGCTGCCGACCAGTCCTGTCTTTGAGATTCTCCCAGGTCAAGACAGTTTTCTTGGCATCTAGCAAGACCCAAAAAGGGGTCGTGATGATTCAGCTTTTATTCTGAAAAGGAACAGTTGCAGCAGGTGGAAGAGCAACAGATCTTATCCAGCTTGTCGTTAGGTTCTTTCGGCTGAAGAGGAAAGTTACGGATTGGCCACTCCGACAACTTCTCTAGAAAGCTTTGAACTCAAGTTAAACATGATGTGGGCATAGTTTTATAATTTGGATGTTTTGATCTACGGTCGAATCAAAAAAAGGACAGATTTACCAAGCACCAACAAAACACGCCTCGCGTCAGACCTGGAAGGTTCTGAATGGATCGGAAAAAGAAAATGTGTCATGTGATTCATAACATTACGTGTGATCAGTCTCTAGTGGAAACATTTAAAGTTATATTACTTATTATAATCCACTAATCATAAACATTGTCATTTCACAGATTGGTTCACATTTTATAATTGGACTAACACTTTGTTTGATGAGCTTTACTAAAAATAGAGTTCTTCTGATTTATTAAAAGAAAGAGTCCTTTGTCTTCATTCTTCTCCTGAGCTGGAAAGGAAGACACAGTTTAGAAGCAGAGCATGCGACCTTGAGCAATATCTCATGCAGATTAGGTCTGTGTCAGAAACTTTTGGTTCTGCTTTGAGTGGAGCAAAACAGAGCAGGGCCTTTTAGGTCAGAAATGGACAATTCATCACGCTACACTATAATTATAAAAAATTAACAAATAAAATTGAAATTAGATTATTTTGCTAGTTTTAAGAATTCTAGGCAAGCAACTTTTGCTTACCCTATTAGGAGATTTCTATGGCTCAAAACAAGAACATTTGAAGCATATGTATAAATGTTTACCTTATTTTCAGTAATACTATTTTTCTAGAGAAGAATTTTTTGTTGAACTAAAAATAAGACAAACTGTCTAAAAATGAGGTGTTTTTACTTTCTTAGAGATCTGTTTTTGCAGCATAGAACCACTTATGAGATGGTGTCATTTTCTGTTTCAATGACTCTTCTGGTTCCAAAACTTTGTTAATAGTGGA